TGTTCCTCTCTCTCTCTCTCTCTCTGCTCCTCTCTCTCTCTCTCTCTGCTCCTCTCTCTCTCTCTCTCTCTTCCTCTCTCTCTCTCTGTTCCTCTCTCTCTCTCTCTCTGTTCCTCTCTCTCTCTCTCTCTGTTCCTCTCTCTCACCCTCTCTGTTCCTCTCTCTCCCTCTTTGTGCTGACAATCATCAAATATACAGTTGAAACCACATATTTATGTACTCTTCAGATCAAAACACAAACACTTTTTTAATTGTAACATCAAATCCGACTAAATATTTTTTTTAGATTGATAAATATAAAAAACATATTTGTTAACTTTAAGAGTAAAGAGAGAAACTACCTGTATTTCTTAATTGTAAATGGCACCAAATTGTATTCAAAACTGAGCCACACTTATTGACATCTCTTAATTTTCCCATTTCAAAGAAACAGGCTCTGTGTTTTGCCTTATATGCATCCACAGCTGTGCCACCAATTTACTCACATGGACTCTACTAACCTATCAGAAGCTTCTTCAGCTCAGAATGGAATCGTCTGGAGTTTTCTTATTAATTAACAATAAATTTAGTGTACATGTGCTCCTAAATTTGATGAAAGTGATAAAAAATAGACAGCTCTGTCTCTCTTTATTCTGACATTTAACTAATTCAAAAGATTTCAATATTTATTTATCCAAAACAAAACAAGTTTACTCTAAATTGATGTTGTACAGTAAAAAAATGTTCTTGTGTTTTCCATAAAGTGTATGTAAATATCTGGTTTCAACTGTGAATATACTGCTGTGTATTGAAATTCCTCTTGTTTTGCATAGAAATATACTGAACAACATACAAAGCATAATATATAAAATACTACCAGAGTTTTTTCTTTGAAAGAAGCCCCTTATGTCCATTCTTGTATATCAGTGCATTACTGAAACCGATTTATTAAGCCGTGGAGGGTAACAACTGAAAATATGAAATAAACACACATGTAAGCTAAGACTCTCTAAAGAAACAGCATTGTTGTTGTTCGGCTTTTCATTTCGCCATTTGTTGATTCACTTGAAGAGCAAGTAACATAATATTGGTCAAGTGATCAGTTTGATATCAATCTTTCGTGATTCACCGTCATATTTACATTATTTGTACATACAAATGATTTGCTTTGGTACCTGGTCAAACTTAAACTCTCCTTAGTATGGCTGGCTCCGTTTCTCCAACAGCGCATTCACAGGCAGCAGCTGCCCCGCCCCCTCGCTCAGTCGCTTAGTGCCTGAGCTCGGATCATACCAATATCAGGGGGGATTCACGCACAGTCGTAAATTCCCACAGTGTGCACTATGTGCTTCGAATATTGTGTGTACTTTTTGTTTTATACAGTTGTCAGCCAGGCATCTAACTATGAAAAAAATTACACTCCAAAATACCCCGGGCTTCTGACAAAACAACCCGGGCTTAAGCCCAGTAAGCCACCCCCACGGTCCGCCCCTGTTGAAGAGAGCTATTTACCTGCATATACTCTATAGATCTGCAGGGTATTATTTTATCTAATCTGGGTTCTTGTTGATTAGTTTTTTTGAGGAATTAAACTCCTGGTCCTTTGCCCTTTCTCTCTCTCTCTCTCTTTTTTCATTTCCTGGTGCATTCTCTGAGCTGTGGTACCACGAACTTTATGAGAAGCCTTTTCTCTGAATGAAAAAAAAAGCTTTTCTTCATCTCATTAAGGCATCTGCAGTCTAATGGATGATGCTTTGTATTTGGAGAATCTTCATCCATGTATGACAGCTTTCTTTGTTTCTCTGCAGCATGTGGATTAAAATGCTATGTATGTGCATTCTCTGACCCTCACTCCTGCACTGATGCCTTAACTTGTCCTGCTGGTATGGACCGATGTTTCAGCCTTACTACAAGCGGTAAGTTGTTCTGCAGTGTATTAACAAGTGTTTAAAGCTGTAAATCATACATTTTATGAGCATAGCATTAGTTAAACTGAGGTTTTCCCATTATGTGTTGAAGGTACCGTCACTAAGAGCTGCATAAACAGTGTCTCATGTGTCAGTCCTATGAGGTGCTGTGAAGGGAACTTGTGCAACAGTGCTATCCCAACTGGTCCCAGTGTCGTGCTCCTGCTGGTGTCTTCAGCCATAATCACCATCTTCCTCTGAAGCTCTGGAACAACTACATCTTAATCGTGTTTTACTTTGTTCTTAACCAAAAATTACAACCCAGGAATATTAAGCCATTTTTTAAATAATGTATGGATATTTCTTTTCAATAAAACCACAATAATGTATCAACTACTGAATTGTTTAATTCCTAGGATTCTGCAATTCACATCACTACAGCAGAAAGATTTTTTTGTGAGCTCTAACAGAAAGACAAACAAAACAGGACAGAAAAACAGACGTTATTGCGAGCAGATCAATCATTTATTTTTTTAGCTGTCTGATAAAGACTTATTTAATTACTTTTTACAGTTATTTCCACAAATGCAGAAATCACTTTTCCCACCCATTTGATGTGCTCACTCTGTGACTGAGATGACTCTTTCATAAGAGACGCATCAGGCATATACAGTGTTTGCAACTGTGAAAAACAGGTCTTTAAACATGAATAACCTGAAAAAGTCAACACTGATGCAAAAGTCAGGTAGATGAATTTCACCTAGTCTGATCGCAGGTAAATACACATAAGTCATTCATGACAATACATACAGTACTTCTCTAGATGTCACACGAAAAACAAACATATACCATATGCATAAATAAAATTAAATATTTGTTCTTTGGCAGTCTACCTTCTAATTGTGCCAAGCACTCAATCACGGGAGGGGGGGGGGGGCAACAACAACAAAATATTTTTACACAGAAAACTTTCCCTTTAACATTCACATCTGTTATGTCACGTTGATGATTTCACCATCACACCTAAAGCATCAAACAGTATGTGATAGCCAAATCCACTTATTGTGTTTTAAGTGAATGTCCTTTTAAAAACCTTCATAGATACATGTTATATTTTACATTTTGCGATTAACCTATTTAACATAGGTTAGATTCTCACACAATCTCACACAAGCTTTCCTGGTTTCACAACAAAGTAAGGTTACTAAAAAGAAGTACGAAATTATGTATGCATCCATTTACTTATTCATTTGAAGAAATGCTGCTGTGTACTGTGTCAGTAAAAACCATTCTATGTAAAATTTTAACATTTCTTGTGGTAGGATCAAGAATGCAAGAAAAAAAAACATAAACACGGCCAATTTATAGGATTTATCATTTGTAAGTTGCTGTAATTCCAAGACAAATTCAGACATAATAACACTGCTGTTTTCATTACTTTCTAGCGAGGCATTCAAATTACTTGGTGTGCTTTACTCTCATGCTGGCAATAACTATGAAAGAGCAGACAAACATTTAAACTCTTCATGCGCTTTGCAATGTCACTGCTTTGAAACACTGCATCAAAAACATCAATGTATGTAGAAATGTGTTTTATCCCTCTGGTTCTCTTTGCTAAGGTTGGCATACCATAGATTAGCTAATAAGGCAAATGAAGCCACAAGGCAGACATAGATGGCACACTAATATATGGCATCTTTGAGAATAATAACTGTTTTACAAGGTAAATCAGTTATAATAATAGAGTAGTGTGCAAAAGTCTTGAGCCACCCCTCATTTCTCTTTATTTTAAAGTTATGACTAGGAAATAGGACAGCAATTTATTGAAATTTGCAAACATACAGAGAAAAACCAACAAATAAGGCAAAAACAGAGTTTGTACAATTCTACTAAGTTTGAAAGTCAGTATTTGGTACGACCACCTTTATTCTTTAACACCGCCTGAACTCTCTTAGGTAAGCTTTTGTGTCATTTCTTTAAGTAGTCTGCTGATCCCCAACACTACTGGCTAAAATATATCCCCAAACCCTGACAGTGACTTGACTGTGCTATAGACACTCGCCATTGTACCTCTGTCTTCACCTCATCCGTAAATACCGTTGATGATTTGATCGCCCCCAAAAAATTTGGATTCATCACTCCGTCAGATTGCCACTGATTTTCAGTCCAATTCTTTTGTAATTAGACACACCTCAGCCTTTTCTCCCTATTTCTCTTGCTTAAGAATGGCTTCTTGACAGCCACCCTTTTACTGAGACCATTTCTGATAAGGCCTGAGTGAACAGTAGATGAAATGAAGCACAAATTTCTTAAGGACACAACTTAAGAAACAGAGATTGTTCATCCGCTGCCGACAGCTATTTCTGTCTGTAATTTCTTTTGTCCGATTGTCCAGTTTCCCTTAATGTTTTTAAGGACACACCGCACACCACCAAGTACCAAGTTTTCTCTTATAACCTTGGTGGTGCAAAAATACAATTTTATGCCTGTCAAACTGTGTAAACCTTGGATTTTTGTTGATTCGGCTAAAATAAACAAAAAAAAAAACAAAAACGGAAATATTTATATGTTTTTGAGACCGGCTGGTAGCAAAACAGTCCCTAAGATACAGTTTAAAATTGGTTCCTTACAAAGTTGTCTGTGATAAACACAACAGTAGTTCATCCCTTGTGTTAGGTGTCTTCCTTTAAGCTCTAGTTATTCATAGGTCAGTGTTAAGTGGCTTCGCAAACAATAAACACATCTAAAAATAGTCAGCTACACGACTTGGGCTGAAAACAAGTAAAAGCCAAAATCCATAGAAAAAAAAATCTGAAAGACCTTTAGACAAGCCTGGACAACTATTGCCCAAAATACACTTAAAAATTGCAAGGAAGTTTGGCTCCTTCGAATTAAAATAAGACAATAAGAAGCGGTGCAAGACTTTTGCACAGTAATGTATAACAAATATATTACTGTGGATCAATAATAAATATCTTTTAAATGTACCCTGAGCAGTTAAGTTGACTTGTGCAGACTTTTTAAATAAAAAGCATAAAGCAGTAGATTTTGGCACTAAAATAATATAATGGCACTATAGGTTATGGGACTTACTGACATAAAAGTATTTGCAGC